TTCAACCTCTAGGCGACATCTAGGGAAGTGGCTCATATACACATATGAAGAATTGTACTGATCATTTATAATCATCATATATATATATATATATATATATATATATATATATATATATATATATATATATATATATATATATATATATATATATATATATATATATATACATGTCTGACATTAAGAAAAGACCACAATTTCAAAGCCTTTGTGGTAGGGCTTGAATGATAGTTTTGCCATTTTTTACATGTAAGTATGGATAATGAGAAGAAAATGCAACAACATTTCTATAATTAGGTATGACTCTTTATATATGCAAAAAAACATTTTTCATTACTAACACATGCATATTTCTAACCTTTAAGGTTTACACAGAGGTTAAATCTAATTTTCTCTAGAAGTAATGGAAAAAAAAAATTCCACATGTATTTACTTTTCAAAAATTGCGTATGCCAATTGCACGTGCAACTGTTGATTAGTATTCTAAATCTAAATTGTATTTATTTTCAGGAAATTGCGCATTGCTTCTGTTGACTATTTGCAAGTCAAAAATATGGACTTACTGACAATCTTTAAAATCTCTTTAAATTAACGAATGGTTAAAGTTTTAAATCTATTTTGCATTAGAAGTGTTAAGTTTAAGAATAACAATTACATTATTACATAATGATATTGTATATTTTGAAAGAGCGTATAGGTAATATTACTAGCCATTTTTATGTTTTTATGTCAACTTGAAGTTACATATACCAGTCTTTTAATACCCCGCCCTCTCCCTGTCATAAAAGTTCTCGCAGAATTAATTAATACGTTGGAAATATTTTTTGAAATTATCCATGACTTAAGACTTGGGATGTCAATGTGTATTCGAGTACTGAACTATCGCTGTACTTTTTTACTGTGTTACTCGATAAGATATGCTATTGAATATTCAATTTAATCATTTGAGGGACTTTCTCAAAGATTTTTTCCTGGTGTCAAAGATAAGTTTCGTCTGATGATATTCAACGAATCTTTTGTAGCGGTAATGATTATCGTGATTGGATAGATGGGTTATTAATATAAATATTGGGCGTAACACTCTAATTATAAACAAAACAGGAGGATAATTATAATTAAGTTGAGAACGTTATAATAATGAATTCCTTACCTGTATTCGACACTGGACCACATCATTGGATAATATATACTAAGATACAATATGAAAACAATGTTAACTGAGACACGAATATATCTTCTAACATGTCTAAGTACGAAATATTTTTTTTTTAGAAATACAGTTATGATAGGGTAGTTTTAATTGAATATCATTATTAAGTTTACGAGAAGTTTTGATAGGACATGAAATAAAACAGGAAAATAATTAGATTTCCAATCTACTTCAAAACATTCATTTTGGTCTTTTTTTTATATTTAAAGGATTTTGAGGTTTTAGGAGTGAGTATCCTCCGCCGTGTGCTCCTTGTCACGATCGGGAAATAACAGAAAATCCATCCTCAAATTTGTGTGTAAATAATGGATTATCATGGAAAACGTCAGTCAGCATTTGACTCAATGATAAATTTTTGCTGACAAGGTCATTGTATCGACCGTAGAACTTACGAAATGATGACTTTAAAAGAGACTGCTGAAATTTTTGTTTTATCAACTTGTTTTTCAATGATTTATCTCGTTTTAGAAATCTACATGCGTAGAGCATGCTCTTGCATATCGAATCAACTGAGAGATAAAAACTCCGTATGCAGGTGATGAAGGTGTAATGTTGCATAAGTAAGGGAATTTGACGATTGAAATGTTAAAGTCATCAGGTTTATCATAGAGCATGGTTGTTAAATTACTATTAACGTCTTTTTCAAGTAAAATATCCAAATATGAAACAGACTTTGTGGTATCTTTTATTTCAAGCTCACCAAAATATATCGTATCGACATAGGAATGGAATAGAAATAACCATTGTAAATACGTCGTCGATATATCGAAATCTTTGTTTTTCAAAAGATCATACTTTCTGGAGAAAAGATTTCAATATACAAACGATAAAATGTATTCTTTAGAAATAATGATTTCAACGTTTGTTTAACCTGACATCAGATTCGAACCAAAACTGCCTTCAGGTAATCGCAATAGAGGGCACTTTGACAGGTAAAATAAAGTATTTACGATCTTTATGATCAAGTTAAAAAGGCATTTGAAATTAATTATCTCAGTGTAATTAAAAACTCATAATGAAAACTACCTACTACATGCATAACTATGATTAAATTGTCAAAATGACTTTCAAACAAGTCGACTACAAACTTTGTCAGAAAAATATCAAACGTTAATGATAATTATGAGTAAACTACATCTATGGGTGTTATTTCTTGACATTATGAAGTAATTAGGCATAACATAATTGCTCTAAGTTATTAAGTATCTATTAAAATGAACCTTAAAATATGTTTTCCATGAGAAATGGTGCACATAAAGAATTTTTTTTATTTGTTTTGAAAACATCTCTGTTACAAGTATAACTTTTTGTGCTGAACAGAAAACACTTATAAACAGCTTCTTAGTTCATACTTCCTATGATACAAAACAAAATTTATTTATAAAAGTCATTGCTTTTTTAGGTGGATTAATTACCTATGATAAAAATAAAACAATATAATACAAGATTTTTCTCAAAATGATAAATGTAATGATTTTTTAGATACCTGAAGCTAATTGTTCCGAAATAAATACTAGTAAATCTATCATAGATCAAACCTTTTCAATTTGATAGGTACATTGTAACTATCTTAAGTTTTTTTTTTTCAATTTCAATATCATGTGTGGGCATAGCTAAATTTGAAAACACATAACAAGTATACAGGTTATATATTTAGGATTAAAACACTTTAAATTCAAAATTTTATTTGCTATCTATAATAAACTTATACGTAAATTAATGCATTAAATTGTATTTGCTAGAATTGTTTTCAAATGCACCAAGTTCATCAAAATAATGTTATATTTGTTGATCCCATTCATAAGTCTTTTCTTTTGAAATGAAAATTACGTTTTTCTTAAATATCAAATCCTTGGCTGTTTTCTTATAGACTAGAAAATTCTTTTCAAAAATTTCAACATGACATTGATAAAATTGTGTCTGGTTCTTTAGATTAAACAATGTGACCTTGTCTTCTTGCAGTAGGAATACTGAACGTCCATATACAGAGCTAGAAATAGCGTTATAAATGAGAAAGAATTTATAAAGTAGTATGCTTTTTGTAGCGCTTGACATACACTTTAGTGTAGGTTAAAAAGAGACGACAGATGCAGGCACGTTAATGAGGACTCTGTGACAAGTGATGATATTTAGAATTCTGCATTACATATACTTATGAGTCTTTTAGAAATTATATTAGTGTCATTAAAATATCATAATGTATACTGACATTTTAATTAAATTTATAGCTTTTGTTTAATTCAGCTTGAATTATTCCTCATCTCATAATGAGTTGAAACAATTGCGGTTTTTTAAGAGTAGTGTGCTTGTAAAATGAACCAGTAACATTTGGTAGGTGCTAGAAAACAATTTTCTTTTGACTTTTTTATGTTCTTCAAGAAGTAAGATATTTTCATATAAGATACCTGTACACTAAATGATAAAAATTCTTAATTTGCTAAGCATAGCACGTTCCTTTTATTTGTTATCCCTAAAATTATATTCCTCTGAAAGTAAATGCTAAGCTTACAATCAAAGGGATAAATGATGTGTAATAAAATTAATAATAAATTAATTAAGTAATTCTTTCGCACTGTACGGAAAAGAAAACACTTGTTATCCTCATCTCGACATTCAAAACAATTAACGACGCTTTATCAATTAATAAAAACTATTTCCAGCCCCTTTCGGTTCGATATGATTATATCTCAGTGAACTTGAAATTAAAGACACCAAGGAGTTTGTCACATCAGATTCATATATGAATGGTCTGTTAACTAAGACGATGGAGATCAACTAACAACTCAATTGTCAAAGTATGACAAACTAGATAACACAAGTTTTTCCAATGCCATCATTCCTTATCAATATATATATATATATATATATATATATATATATATATATATATATATATATATATTAATATATCCCGCTAATACCTGCATATCTGCTTACTTTTCTCATCCTTTAGATACACTGGGAAAAGTTGCTCACATGATTTTCATAAAAAAATATAGCTCTGTAACAGAACAATATACTAGGATTTTGGTTTTTTACCTTTTATAATTGACTTACGTGAAAAAGAAAAGATTTTTTTCATATGTGAATTGATAATATTAACAGTAACTTTAATTTTCTAGCAGAGTATATTTCAAAACAAAGAAATCTTACACAAGACAATTCGTAACATGCAATCGATAACCACAATTACACCAGGAAACACCTGGCAAAGCGCGGCAACTCCTCTTATTACATTTAAAAAAATCTTGAGCAGGTAACAAAGCTTTTGGGGGTGAATTTGGATATGTACATTGTATTTTACATCAATAAAAAAAATGGACATCAATTATTTCTTAATTTACACACAAAGGTCAAGTGATATGACAAATAAAAACAACACTTAAAAAACAAAAGAAGCTTTAAACCAAAACTTTAAGACATTCAATTTGTACGACTCTCTACTTTCCGCTTTTTAAAACATCTTAAGAGTTATAATATACATGTATTTTGCACAACATATCCATAACTTAAAAAAGGCGACAGCTATAGACACTATTTTCTGAAGGAAAATACCCTTGAAATGGGTCATTTTGAGGCTTTTTCTGTTTAAAATAGAGAAATGCATCAAATCAATGACGTCATATTTCCAGATGCCATATTCTTTCCTGGTTTATCATAGTCATAAATTCAACTAATACAGTAGCCAGTTACAAACTTTTCGAAAACATTAAAGCTAAAACCGTACCTTCTTCTTTTACAGTTCTAACAATGAATAGTTTTCTTATGAAAAAAAAACAAAGAAGACAAACTGGTTTCTCTCTTATTTATTTATCATTATTTAGTATAGTATGGATAGTTGCAGCTTCCCTGGCACCAGCTTGGACAACCAGACCCTCTTTTACAGAGAATTTTAGAAATCCTGTTGGCAAAGTCGTGGCAGTTGTTACTAAGCAACCTGTACCTCCCATAGGCACACCTATAGTTTCTGGCGCAACCCTCAATGCAACTAAGGCTCACCGTGCTGTAACCTGCTGGGGAGCCCTCCCTTCCGCCACTGCATCTGCATTCTGAATATCGGCTATTAGAAATTACAACCGTCGAGTTACCTTCAAAGAAATGCTATAAATGTCACATAAAATGGAATACTTTTTTTTACATTTAATAATGTTGCTGGCAGGATAACGCATACAAATATTAATTTTATCATATTTTTCTCTAGAGGAAAGTATCTGCTTAGGATTTAAAAAAAAATAAATTTAACTAACAAGATATATTGAAAATTACACGTTATGTGTAAATTGAAATTTTGTAAATTAAAATTAAATCACGTGTCACTAGCTATTTCAATTTTGATTGTTTATAGTAAAATATTGATCACAAACCTAGAAAGTCGAAATATTTTCCCTTGTAGTAGATGAAACGGTGACTTAGAGATAACCTTCCTCTCGTAGGTGCACCTCGCTTGAATTTTTTAATGCAACTCAACTTTGTTGTACCGAAATAGTACGGCGAAGCTCCACCTATGGTCATAAATGAATTTGAGGTCATATAATGGCAATTAATTTCATTTTAATTTTTAATGCATTAGATGTGGTTAATTGCAGTACCTGCATAAGATTATTGTTCAAATGACATTACAGTTATTCGTCTCAAAAGATAGCCAGGGGTATGTGGAAATTATTTTGCAATTCAAAAAACCCATAACTATTTTTTTTTTAATTTTGGTTATTTCGAATTATCGGATTTCACGAACTTTAGAATTTTTCTCATCGAGTATTCGACATAATGAGGTTCGACTTTACTTGGGTTTTATGTATCTGCTTACCTCTTGCTGGACACCCTTTGTTATTCCCTTTCTTGCCCCACCATTTCCTTCCCAACCAAGCATCTCCTTGGAGGCACAAAGTACACAGTACAATGAAAACCTACGAAATAATTTATTAAATACATATATATCATAGTTTTGTATTTAATTTTCCACGGAAGGAAAGAAAACTTTTTTATTACTAATTTGTACTAACTTAATTAAATTACATATACATATAACTGTTAGTATTTCATTTTTTTGTATATCGATCGTAGGTAATTAAAATTAAAATTATTCACCCAAACGAAGGTTAAGATATTGTAGAATATTATTTTCTAGTTACAATAAGTTTTTAAAAGTAATACTTTACTATAAATGGTAGGAAGTTCTATCATGCCTACACAAGAAAAAATTCTTTCCTTGCTTTTATTACGAGACCTTCTTCCCCTTTTTATTTAAAAAAGAAACAAAATCTTAAAATCGAAAGTAAACTTTTAGTAATTAAATTAGTAATTAAAATTAAATGTCTCTTTAAAATTATTTCTAAATCATTAAATTCTGAGAAAATACTGATAAACGTTCATTAAATTTTATATTCTTACTATTATCTGATAAAGATTAACATACCAATGAAAAATTCATTTCATTCGATGGAGGGATGGTAAGCACACATTGTTTAAGATTATATATACTGTCATTAATTATAGAACACCTGTGTATCTGTTATTGACCACAAGTGTTTTGAGCACACTTCGCCCACGAATATAGGTACTGTAAAATTGAATGAAATCTTTCGGTATTGGATCGAAGAAAAGAAGAATTTTGTAAATATGCAAATGCATTCAAGTCAATAAGTCAATTTAAGCAAAGAAAGCAATGCCGTTTTTAAAGTGATAGAAAGAGGTAATTTAAAACGTACACGCTTGAAACAAGAATGATTTAATTTGGACTAAACTATAAAGAAGTGACTTTTTTTATGAAATATATGGAGATAACGAACAGTATTCAAGCTCAAAAGTCCACTAAACAATAAAAATATGAGCAGAACAAAAACGTACCTCTAAAACTGAATTTTTCTAATGTTTCAAAATTATTTAAATTTGTATGTTTAACACTGAACTTAGGTTGTAAATGTGGTTAGGACATTTTTATATTTCATTAAATAAGACTTTTTTTTAGCATACCTGATTTTTTCTAAACTCTTCTCCAGAATAGCTGGGCTAACTTTAACCAAACTTACAACATAGCATCTTCCAGGGTAAATGGAATTCAAAATAGTCCATATAAAGAGTAATTTCCTTTTAAAAAAGAAAATACTTAGAAATGTAAATTTATTCTGAAGAACCACTGGGCCGAGAAAGTTAAAACATATTTTTTAAAAAAACATCATAATTTAATAATCCTTTGTGATAGAGTGAGCCCCAATAGATAATCAAGCTTTTACATGAAATATAAGGACAAAAGAAATTCTACGACAAGAAAACCATTTGTTATACACATTTATATACAATAATCAAAAATCAAAAGGAAATGTAAATTCCAGATTATAAGTATTCAAAGCATGATCCCCAGAGTAACGAATATTTTGGTTAATCCATAAAAGGGGATCATAAAGGACAAGATAAAGGTTAAAATGCCCCTTCTTGGCCCCCTGCTTTGGGATGCCTTTTAAAATGATACAACTGTTTATAAAAAAAAACTGTTGTAGCCGCTGACACAAAATAAGTATTGGTTTTTAGTTAAGGTCAGAGAAAGGTCAGAAAATATGTTAATTTCCGAATTTTCTCTTTTTTTATGCAAATTTTCATAAATATAACAGCACAGTTTCAGAAAAATAGAGCACAAGCTTGCCTATCTACCAAATTTATATATATCATACACTTGTATTAGATGCATCTCATTTATAAAAATCTCAGATAGGCAAGCGTGTGATAAATGTTTTCCGAAGTCAAAACTATCTCTCATTTGACGAAGTACCATCAAATTCGAGAAAAATTGGGAAAACATCCAGCTTTCGCGCACTCCTGTGGCCTTTGTGCAAGTTTTGAATCAAAAACAATAGTGCTGGTTTTAAATCAAGTATCATTTTAAATTCTTAACTACAAACTATCGCAATTTTAACTGTATTCTAGTTTTTACATCAAATAAGGGGCCAGATTCGGCCGTTATCATACCTTGTCCTTTGATTTGTGTTTCTTAAGAATTACATAAAATTTGAAAGACATAAGCATTTGTTCCTTATGTTCATTTATTCAAGTTTAACCCTCAAATTATGATATCACTTCGGGTTGGACTGAAATTGCTCTAAAAATCGAACAGAAAAAAAACCCCAAAACAGTTAGGCTATGTTAGACATACTGATATTGGAGCCTGTCAGTGCGTATGGTACCGTTCACGGTAGCTCAGTAGGTAGAGCACTCACTCGGTGATCGGGAAATCGTGAGTTCGAACCTCGACCGCGACTGACCTGAGTCGATAAAAAATGGATAGCAACTGTTCGTTTGACATGCACACGGCACTTGAAGTGAAAGTTGCGGGTCTTTCGGATGAGACCTTAAGAACCGAGGTCGCGTTGACACGAGAAAGATCTATCAATACTCAATGACTTTGAATGCTGAATAAAGGTCAAACTTTGAAGCCCTTCACATGTATATGATAACGTCTCCACCTAAGTGAAAAATGGGACATAAAACAACATACAATCAATCAATCAATCAATCAATCAATCAACCAATGTGTATGGATTCAAGTGGACTTCAATGATGACTCATTATCGGACAAGAATGGGGCCAAAATGTGGAGGTGCTATTTTTATATAAATAAAGAGTGGGAAAATTCAATTAAGATCAGCAGAACGAAGGTAATTAAGGTTAGCGTTATAGTCCATTGGCCTTCCGTTTCATAATAAAATATGGTTCTTTGAAAACGTCTGTTTTGACAATCTGTTGCGTGACAAAGTTACACCCTTTATAAGTGTAATATACAATGCATAAAAGCATGATACATGTAGTGTAACGATTTTTGAGGCAACTGCAGCAACCGTTCGATTTAAATACATTTTTTATCTTAAAAACATACATGTGATCCTCAAAACATTTAACAATAATAAAATCGCCGTGCAATTTGATTAAATTACAAAATCATATAAAGAATAAATGGTGCTTTAATGTTTAATTAATAAGTAGATAAAAAGTATTCTGTAAAGTATTCTTGGGCGGTTGTTTTTCCAAATCAATTTTTTTATACGTCAAAAATTTCATATAAAGATATTGAATTCACAGCTAGTGTAATGTATCTTATATTTACCAAATAGAAACCCATTCTTTACAGAAAAAACAAATACAGTTATTTAATTTCTTTTATTATTTACATTAAAGAAAATAATTTTTTATTCATTACACTGGTCGAGACACTCTGTTCCTTATCGGTTAAAGTCCCTTTCAACATTATTTAATCATATGAGACGCACTCGGTGTTGTTAGAGGGCTGCAAAATGTGAACGTTTGAATTATTCCGGAAATCATATAATGACACTCCTAGAAATTTGTTCAATATTCCACTTGTTAATTGAACAGAAGTTGTAAATTTGACTGGATTGTAGCCTCTTGGAAAAAGTACTTGTCTTTACAGTATGTGGACGGGAAAGTTTTCATAAGCATCAATTTTTAATGAAACTTCCAAAGGTCCGTCCGTCCGTCTGTCTGTTACGCTTTAGGGTACTCATCTCTTATCCGCAACTCCTCTTATACCACTCTTACACCACTGAGTAAATTTTTAATGAAACTTTCACAGAATCTTTATTACATATTGCCATTGTGCACCTTCTATTTTGCTTTTTGATCCGACACATATTTTGGGTTTCCCGGCCACAGCATTGAATATATATATATATATATATATATATATATATATATATATATATATATATATATATATATATATATATATATATATATATATATATATATATATATATATATATATATATATATATATATATATAAAGTTTAAGCTACATATGTGTTACACAGTTTTAGAAAAATATTAATAAATTCACAACATGGTTAATAATAAACTGCAAGGACGTGTGTGATGTCACAGCAAATCATGGACTTAATCTGCCATTATAACCATATGGAAGGCGGGGGAATCATTTAGTGAGCTCATTGCTCACAGTACCTCTAGTTTTGAATCAAAATTTGGACATGTACAAGCAAACACAACGGAAATAATGCAAAAGGCGAACTTTTGGTAAGGAAGGGTGGTCATGAATAAGTGGCCTTCTGAGGGTGAAATGATAAATGTTTTATGCTAATTACAAAGGCCAATATTACAGGAAAAATTACCCGTATGTTCACAGGTGCATGAAATATAATAGGCCTATTTAGCATGCGTCAGTCTAACACTTGCATAACGTCAACAGAAGTGCATGAGAATGCAGTCATTTAAATCTCTTAATCAACGCCTTTAGCTTTACTGCCTTGGATTAAGCACACTAAGTTATAATTCAGGTACTCTCAAAATTCTTCTAGACTGAAAACGAGCAGAACTTTGTGCAGTGCTTTGGACAAGGGTTTTAAACCAGAATCTAAGTAATTATAAACGGGGGCAAAAAATATTTCTCCTGATAACTATATCGGCAAATCAAAACGGGGACGTTTTTCATGCTAAATTAGAGTAAGTAATTTATAGTTGAGTCTGGGTGTCAAATTTTAGACTTCATTACAAACGCCCATCCCTCATACATGTAATATCCCCAACCGGGGCGATGCTCAAGATTATGGTCGGTGGCGTTCAATCACGCATTTTACCTACCCACTTCTATTTAGCATTAACGCACACATATACCCAAGGGAAACAACTATTAACTGAATAACTTTCGACACAGTTGAAGATGTCAAGTTTCGAAGAGGGCCCTCTTCTCTAAACCAGATAAGGCAAATACTAGTATTGCCATATTAAGATATATGTTAAACATTCTCTACATTAGTGGAATTGTTGCTTACAAAATAATCAGGTTTAGGTAAAGCACATCACTTATCTATTCAAATATCAATATTTTTGCAGGATGGGCAGACACTACTATAACATACTTGTCTTTAATGTCTGTGTGCTCTTAGGTATACCTCTTATGATGGATAAAGCCCAGGGGCTCACAACATGATTAGTGTTCTTGGATTTAGAAATAGACACATTATGTAAATTCCAACCCCAGCTACAAAACTCAAATCTTATCTTATCAGAACCCCCCCCCCCCCAAAGGGCCATTCCGGGTAGCCGTGCATCAACCAGGCCTTACTGTAATATGCTTGGCAATAAACTTTAAACCTTGTTAATAGGTTACTAACGTTGGGTAACTAAACATGCACTTGTGACTGGAATCTCGGGCCAACTTCATTGGAATTATTTGAAAATACTGAAGGGATTTCTCATGATATTCTACAGCTATTCACCGACATCGGGGCGGATTCATTAGGATGTGACTCCCTTTACATGTTAAAATAAATATTGAACATCCTGGCTATTTGGCTACGGAAAGAAAGAAATCTGATTCTTGTATACCTGGTTGAGATCGTCTGAGTTTTTGTCAAATTTACAAACAGTATACGTTTTAGGCTCAACATATACTTGTAACGCCATATATAGCCACAATGGGCTTACAATACGTTTAATTAAGAGGAAAATGAACTTAGGGTAACCAAAACCACATGTGCAGATCATATTATCCTTATAGCAATTAACTGTCTCTGCCTAATTTAGTGTAATAGCAATCATACCAAATGCCTATACCTATATCTGTAACCGACTTTTAGGACGAAGGGTAAGAAGTTACTTAAACGATTATATATTAAAAGGTAAAGTTTCATAGCCGAGGATGAGAAAAGAGTATACCGTGATTGAGGACTTAATACATGCAGTCGAGGAACTACCCTATTTAAGGATAACCTAAACATCGGTCAAGTTAAGCACATTCTAATATAGATTCATTTTAATACCTGGTATTCTTCTTTAAGTCTTAGTATCTTGAAAAGAATGGAAAATCAAACAGAAAGGGAAACATCTATTTTCACGATCTAAAATAGGTATAATATCATCACTCAGGCTCAATGAACTCTTTACATCGCAGGTTCAAATTGTATCGCAATATTTTTTTTAACAGAACTGTAAAACCTTCTCGGAAATTGATATCTACATGTATTATGAATATAATTATACAAGTACCAAGTCCAAGAAAAAAAAAATTTGCATGCAAGTGCAAGTCTAATATATGTCACCTATGAACTATTATATACGCGTTCATTGTGAATGCCTATAAGTACATCGATAATCAACACTCAAGCCACGGTCCAGAGTCCGCCTGTAGCCTCCAGATTGAAAGTGGATTTTGGCCGTGATTAGAAAGACATCAGGTTTGCACTAGAAAATGCAAAGTATTTGTCATCTATTTGTTCCCAGTGTATGTATTTTACCTTAGGTCCCTGAAAAAAAAGTTTGATGAATTTGCTTGTAATAAGCCTGCACTGATATTACCACCTAAAATATATATAGATCTATAATAATTAAAGAAATCCAAATTTAAATGAAAAACTCAAACTTTAATCTATACTGCGCCATGCGGGCTCATCAGTAGATTAAGCAATTAAACAGATACATATACCTGCAAAGGCAACATGATCAAGATTGTGACTCAAACTGGAATCAACGTAATGCACTTAGGAAGGTTGACACACGAGAATAGTCTTCTATAGGGTTTTCTAGTAAGGACATTTTCAAAGGCTGCTCCATTTGCCACCCCCATATTTGTTTACATTCCATGCCTAAGTTTCGTTTCCTTTTTTACTCATCGGTAACCCCCCCCCCTCTCCACACACACACGTATATTTTAATTTTCCTGTCTCTTAGTAAATAGAGATAAAGGGTTACTCTGGGTTTTGGATATAAAGGGGACCAAATAGTTACTTGCTCTGATTTGACTTTTTATTGTAGATGCTACATGTCACAGCTAGTTGGTGTTCATTTTGCATTTGCATTGATAATTGATTTGGGAAGTGGATCGTAGGTGATAAACCATGTAATGGAAGACATGTGCAGTGCTTGGTAAAACCTTCATAAGGAAAAGTGGAATGGTCTAAATTTAAATTCAAATTCATGCATGCATAATAGTGAGACCAGTAAAAAGTTCCAAAGTCATGTAAACTCGTTTTAATATTGTAAGTCTTTTTATTTTAATCCTGATCCAAAATTTTACAATTTGCTTTATGCATACACTACCGATTGCAATTACATACTCCAAGGTACGTGTAACCATATTGATCAATCAGATTAAAATCAGCTGTAAGTTTTAGTTTGGCTACGTTTAATACTAGCCCAGGTACTACTTTGTTCGTTGTAAACGTAGACAAACAGCTGGGGGTATGTTTACAGATAGAAAAAATATTTTACAGTGAAGTAAAGTGAAAATTGATAGAAAAATGAAGGATCATTTATCTATATCCATGAGAAATGAAAATATGAATATTATTTTTAAATCTGGTGATGTTTAAACTTAATTATACAGTGGATATATATCTGATAACTCCCCCCCCCTTCATTTTTATACAAAGAGTTGAAATTAAGAGCAAATAACAATGTGACACTGGTACTAATATTAGTATTACAATTCATTCATAAGTTAATTTATGTTTGTAATTTAAAAAAGTAATAACAAAAATGCCATTTTTATTGAATAGAAGATGTTTATGTAAAATGTAGGCTGGAATCGAGAGTTAGTGTGCATAGTTCTTTGTCATACTCTTCCCATGGCCGTCATCTAAAACTTAATGATAAACTAATGATATTTGTATGTTAAAGTACATAATAGGGTGTTGTGAATTCTTATCTGCAGATCGCTGGAACCAGGAAGGTATTTTTATTCATTGATAACACTACTGAAAGTAAATAAATATATAATACCTATGATTTAGGAAGCCACCTTCTCTAAATTGCTATTTTTGTAACCATGGAAACACTGTTTCTTGAAATGAAAATACTAAAATATTTTTTTTTTTTAAATGTGCATCTTTGTATGCTCCACATGTGTACCAAATTTTATTGAAGTCAGTAAAAAACTGTAGGAGGGAGAGCGATTCAAAAATTGCTTTAGACAATCAGACAGTTGTAAAGCCGAAGTCTAATGGATGACGTATGGACATCGTGTAATTGTATTTATAAACTCTTTCTATTAAATAAAATTGACCAGTAAAACTAAAAACTAATTGAATGCATGCTTTTTTATAATAGTAGCACCAAATCCTCTGGTTTGGAAACATTACTTGTAAAATTGTTTGTATTTCAGGGACGAATAAAGGGAGAAAAACACATATTTTGGCAATTCTGGATCTCAATCGTTGCCATGGCAAATTACTCTGCATAATTAAATACTTTAGGATCTTATCTTTCAGAAAATACATAGGTTGCTCTATGTAAAAGTGACTAGAAAAATGTCTTAAATTCTATTTGTACTTTTTTAGGCAGTCATGAAGAAAAATTGCAAAATCTCTGGCCGTTAAAGGGTTAATTATCGGTCAAATATTAATTATCAATTCCCCTTTAGCATACAAAACATTTCTCATGTTTTATCAATAAGCATGATTTTTTCATCGTTTACCATAGGCATTAATTTTGTTTTCCATACATTGTATTGATTTAACATTGAGGATATTGTTAATGGGATATTGGCCCATTGTATGATATTGTATTGATTTGACATTATGACATTTTTGATGGGATGTTGGCCCATTCATTTGACATGGATACCATTTAAATGGAATATATTGGCCCATTGTATCCATTTGCGTGGCGTTTGGCATTCGCGAAATTTACCCAGTGCACAATATTTAGCCTATTTTGGGTCGCCACATTTGTTGTTGATTATTGGGGAGATGACTCGGCGGCCACTCCCAAATTTGTCATATGACACCGCGACCAGATACGCCAAAATTCAAATAAATCCTATTAACAAATTAAGAGTTATTTTATATAATAACATCTGAGATAATATATAATTAGATACAATATGACACGAATTTTAACTAAGACACAAGTATTTCTTCTAAGTACTAAATCCTTATTTGAAATACAGTTATGAAAGGGTAGTTTTAATTGAATACCAGTATTGAGTTTTACTAGTAGTTTTGATAGGACATTAAGTAAAATATGAAAATAATTAGAATTCAAATGCTACTTCAAACCAAAAAAAATTGGTCTTTTTTATACTTGCAAGATTTTGAGATTTAAAAATAATAATCCCATTAATTCACACCACTTTCTAATATGATGATATATATGGAGAAAATGGACTATTCAAGCTCAAAGAAGCATAAAACAAATAGGAGCAGAGCAAACATGGGCCCCCAGAACAACAAATGTGGGGTCTGGTGCCATGGACGAGTGAGTATCCCCCGCCGTGTGCTCCTCGTCATGATTGGGAAATAACAGAAAAATCCGTCCTCAAATCAGGATGTAAATGATGGACTATTGAATAGCATGAAAAACGTCAGTCAGCATTTGACTCAATGATAAATTGTATTTGCTGACAAGGTCATTGTATCGACCATATAACTTACAAAAGGATGACTTTAAACGCGACTGCTGATATTCTTGTTTTATCAACTTGTTTTTCAATAATTTACCCGTTTTAGAAATCTACATGCTTAGAGCATGTTCTTACATATCGAATCAAATGATGTTACAATTTTCAAGTGAAATATCCAAATATGAAATACCCCCGGTAGATGTGCCAGACTCTGTGGTATTTTTCGTCTCAAGCTCACCAGGTTAATCGTATCGACATAGGAATGGAAATAAACATCGTAAATTGTTGATACGTCGTCGATATATCTAAATCTTTGTTTCTAGAAGATAAAAACTTTCTGGAAAAAAATGATTTCAATATATAAATGATAAAATGCGTTGGTCAGAAATAATGATTTCAACGTTTGTTTAATCTGATTCAAACCAAAGAAATCAAGAAATCGCAATTGAGGGCTATTTGACAGATGAAAGTATTTATGATATTTATATTATCATGTTTAAAAGGGCATTTGAAATTAATTATCTCAGCGTAATTAAAAACTCATAATGAAAACTGCCTGCTATATGTACAACTATAATTAAATTGTCAAAATGACTTTCACGCAAGTCGACTTCAAACTCTGTTAGATAAATTTCAAAGGTTAATGATAATTTTGAGTAAATTACATGTATAGGTGTTATTTTTTGACATTATGAAGAAATTAGGCATAATATAATTGCTATCTATAATTTATGAAAATACAGTTATATGTAAATTAATGCGTTAAATTGTACCTACTAGCATTGTTTTTAAATGCACTAAGTAAATCAAAATATTTTTATTATTATTGATCTCCATTCGTCTTTTGTAGAAGAAAAACAAATTACGTTATTCTTGAATTTCAAATCCTTAGCTGTTTTCTTCTGGTTTAGAAAATACCTTCAACATGACATTGATATAGCTGTGTCTGGTTCTTTACTCCCCGTTCACACAGAACTGCGATTCTACGGCGATCATACCGATCAAGCCACGATCTGAAAAAGTTTTGGATCGGGGCAGATCGCAGTCCATCGGCGTCTAAATAGAGCAATTTGGCAAATTATGGTCTTCGTAACGACCGTGCTACGATGTCCCTACGTCAAACGCGTTGCTAATACGCTTCCACTACGATGTCACGTAGACTGTTGCCGACAAGCGGCCGTGTTTACTGCGTTTACGCTACGCTGCCACTACGGCATTGAAGACCATACTACGACGCTACACAGACTTAGATGACTGTACCGCGATGTCGCTACGGTGGTGCCGATCATATTACGATTGCATTACGCTTCTAGTACGATTTTGGTGATGATGGAAATTTATCTTGCAACCACAGATTTTTGTAGTACGATTTTAGCAATGCGACCGCAGTTTTTTTTGCGGCCTTAACCACATTGTTTACGGGCATTTTCAATTATAACTGTAAAAAGATGTGAAAAGTCTCAATTGCAAATGATCATCAAGTATAGTATTACCCTTTACATGTAGTTTACAGATGATGATTGGTCAAATATCAACGCTATAAGAACAAACTTCTGCCTGATAGGTCGTGATATGATCGGCGTAAGGTCATTGTAGGTCTTCGTAGGATCTTCAGGAACGTAGAGAGATCGTAGTGAGAACGTAGTACAAACGTAGAGGGAGCGTTGTATGAACGTGCTCATTAATTTCCTACGCTCTTACGGCGCTTTTACTACGATCACGAAGATCTCTCTACGATACTTTCGCGCTGCTTGTACGATTGCGGCGCTTCTACTACGCTCCTTTTACGACTTAACCCCGATTCATGTTGGCCACGATCCCGCTACGCTTGTTTTGAACATGTTCAAAATAAGCGTGGTGAGAGCGTAGAGCTCTCCGATCATGAAGACCCTACTGCGATCATAGTACGCTTATGACGACTCCACGACGTTTCTCCTGCGATTTGTTACGATCGACCACGCTTTCGACCAAGCTTTGATCGTAGTAGAAGCGGCGTCTATGTGTGAACGGGGGGTTAGATTAAACAATGTAACTTTGTTTTCTTGCAATAGGAATAAATGACGTCCAGAAAGTTAGAAATAGCGCTATAAAAGAGAGAGAATTTATAAAGTAGCAATTCTTTTTGGATCGCTTGACATGTATAAATAGGTTAAAAACTCACAGCAAATGCAAGTAAAACTGTATCTTAAGCTTAAGTCAACGTAAATGAGGACTCTATGACAAGTGGTTGTATTTAAAATTCTACATTACATTTACTTATGAGTCCTTTAGAAATTATTTTTGTGTCATTAAAATATCATAATGAATACTGACACTTTAACAAAATTTATAGTTTCTGTTTCATTCAGCCTGAATTATTCCTCATCTCATAATGAGTTGAAACAATTGCGGCTTCTTTACGAGAACAGATCCTGCAATATGAACCGGTAACGTCTGGTAGGTGCTAGAAAACAATGTGGAAATGTCTTCTTTTTTTTTACCTTTTTATATTTATTAGAAAGTAAATTATTTTCAACAAATCACATTTTGAGTACTAAATACAATTGATTAATTCTTCAGTGATTCAAAAACTTCTAAATAGTTACGAAGAAGAGAACAATATTTGATATTCTCATATCGCCATTTATACTCAAGATCATGGTCCAAGTACGATCAATTATTAAACCTGGGACAGACTACTCCCAGATATGTTTAGATGAAACAGGAGTTAGAGCAATCTCGAGTATCTATGAACATTATAACGACTATATTAAATATGACCTTTCAATAGTACATGTAACATTTTGAGGGAAGCGTTTAAAGGTACTTGGACACAGATTTGAAGTTATTATTTTCTCTATAATATTACGACTTATATATTTTTATAGCATTTCACACAAAAAATAATTAAAAATCTTATTTCGTTTAAAAGATATTAAAATTTCAAATTTTTCGGCGGGTTTGATTGACATATCCTTGCACTCTAACAAATTTAATTTTATTCTTAATTCTTAGGAAAAGTGGCAATCTCGTATTGTACCAATGAAAAATATTAATACTATAATCCAGAAAATTCAGAGTAGACACGATCGAAAGCAAAACAAACACACAATATATTGTCAGTCCGTGCAGTTGTGGTAAGCAGACTGTGACGATTGAACGCACCCGGTGAATTCTAAATGTAAACAATAACAGAACTCGAGCCCTGTTTACAAAAACTGTGTACATAACACGAGTGTGCTCGATTTGCTAAACTCTGTACGCATCTCTTAGTTCGGAATGACAATACTTGTGAAGGTGTTTTGCTTTCTAACATTTCTACTCTGAATAAAATTATTTTTCTTGATAAAATTTTTCATATTTCTCATTATAACACATCAAAATTGCCACTTTTCCTAAAGATTAAGAATATAGATAAAATTTGTGAAAGTGCAAGGATGTGTCAATCAAACCCGCCAAAAAATTTAAAGTTTTAATAACTTTTAAATGAAATAAGATTTTTAATCAATTTTTGTGTGAAATGCTATTAAAATATGTAATTCGTGATATTATACAGAAAAAATGAGAAAATATTAACTTCAAATCTGTGTCCAAGTACCTTTAAAACCATTTTTAGGTCAATTTTAAAATTTATTTGACTACGGAATGTTCTACCTAGCTGATCACATAGGACTCTCGAAAGGCGTGAAAGGCCGACAAAAAGCTTAGTCCTCTTAGCAACGAGCCCTGAAAACTCATGAAATAGATCTAAATACTTTTTCTTTCTTTTCAATGCTGCTTTTCTGAGTTAAACATAAAGGATTCTATTCTAAATCATTTAAAAGAATAATATAAAATGTTTTCTTATCCGATCTTTTTATGATATTTTTTGTGTAAAACTGATAGTCAGACGTGTTAATAAAACCGGGTTTTTGTGTGTATTCTTATTTTCTCTTCAGAAAAAAAACATATAATTTTGAAACAGAACAAGATGTGGTGATTTTGGAATTTGTTTCTTATTTTTTACATAAACGTTACCTTTCATAAAAGGCTTTAGTGAAAAAATAGATTTTTTTTCATATGGGAAAAGATAAAATAAACATTAAAATTAATTTTCTAGCAGAGTATATATTTTAAAAAAATGTAATACAGGACAATTTTTAACATGCAATTATTTAACCCTAATTACACTAGGATGCACCTTGCAAAGCGCAACCACTTTTTTTTTATAACATTATTATGCACATGTTAATAAACAACCTTGAGCAGGATACCAAGCTTCTGAGGTTGAATTTAAATTGCAATGTATTTTACATCAATAAAAAATGGACATCAAGTATTTCATAGTTGACACATAAAGTTAAAGTGATATGACAAATAAAAAAAAGAAAAGAATTTTTAAGCCAAAACTTTGAGGCATTAAATTTGTATGGTATTCTATTTTCCGCTTTTTAAAACAACTTATATATTTTGCACAACATATCCAATAATTCAAGTGGGCGACGGCTATGGACACCGTTTTCTGAAGGAAAATACCCTTGAAATGGATCATTTTGAGGCTTTTTCTGTTTAAAATAGAGAAATGCCTCAAATCAATGACGTCATATTTCCAGATTGGTACTTCTTCATGCCATATTCTTTCCTGGTTTTTCATAGTCATAAATTCAACTAACACATTAGCCAGTTACAAACTTTTCGAAGATATTAAATTTTTAGGGCAAAATATAGCTAAAAGCGTACCTTCTTCTTTGAAAGTTCTAACAATGAATAGTTTGCTTATGAAAAGAATAACAAAGAAGACAAACTGGTTTCTTTCTCATTTATTTCTCACTATCCAGTATAGTATGCATAGTTGCAGCTTCTCTGGCACCAGCTTGGACAACCAGACCCTCTTTTGCAAAGAACTTTAGAAATTCTGTTTGCAAAGTCGTGGCAGTTGTTCCTCCATAAGCTGTACCTTCCATAGGCACACCTATAGTTTCTGGCACAACCTTCAATGCAGCTAAGGCTCACCGTGCTGTATCCTGCTGGAGAGCCCTCCCTTCCGCCACTGCATCTGCTACCTGCAAGTCGGCTATTGGAAATTGCGACCTTTGAGTTACCTTCAAAGAAATACGTTATTGTAAATGATACATGATAATGAATTTTGTGGATTTAATTAATTAACAGATATTTTGTCTCTGGAGGGAAGTATCAGTCTGCTTTGGATTTTTTAAAATTGAATTTAACTAACAATATATATTTCGTAGTATAAGTTGCTAACTATTGCAGTTTTGAATGTTTATAGTAAAATATTTATTACAAACCTAGAAAATCGAAATATTTTCCCTTATAGTAGATGAAACGGTGAGTATATGATAATCTTCCCCTCGTAGGTGCACCTCGCTTGAATTTTTTGATGCAGCTCAACTTTGTTGTACCGAAATAGTACGGCGAAGCTCCACCTATGGTCATAAATGAATCTGAGGTTATATAATGGCAACGTGGTTCAATCTTATTACGTTTAATGAATTTGATTAGTTTTATTACATTACAATGAAACCTGTCTAATCAAACATTTACACATTTACTGGGAGACGAACTTTGTATCGAGATAAGCAGGATGTTGGATTGCACAGTGTAGAGAGGCATGGAAAATACAGACACGTGCCATAAGTATTCGGTCAACATGGCGACTTGTTTACGCTTGAAAACGAAAGTACATACTTTCAGTCTCCTGTTTTTGTATGTACACGTCATTGATGACGAATTGTCGTAAATTTAGATTTTTAGTCACATGATGTATCACATGATAATTTGTTGTCGTCTGTAGTTAGCGAAAGTTGACAGAATTACGAATTTTAAAATATGGGTCGAAAAGGGCAGGAGCTTGGGGTGGAGGCGAAAAATATCATTATAGATTTGATACAGAGTGGTCTTTCCCGTCACAAGGTCAGTGAGATGTTGAAAATCCCAAAGTCAACAGTTATTGATGTCGCAAGAAAGTTTTTTGCCACAGGGTCAGTAGAAAACAAACCGAGAAGTGGGCGACCGGCGAAAATGAAAGAAAGGGATTACCGTGGTTTAGAAAGGCTTGTGAAAACGCATCGTCGGGAGTCTTTAAGTGACATCACATCAAAATTTAATGAAGGCAGGACTAATAGTGAAACTGTAAGTAAACGGACTATTCAGCGTCATTTGCATAATCATGAATATAGAAGATGTGTAAGTAAGAAAAAACTGGTTGTGAAGGAGGTTAACCGACGAAAGAGACTGGCATGGTGCAGAGAGAAAAGGCGATGGACAGTTCAGAATAACTGGAATAAAGTTATATTCTCAGACGAGAGCAAGATAATGATTGGACACGACCAGCGGGTTCATATTTGGCGCAAGAAGAACGAAGGTTGGAGACCCGATCTTGTTCAACCCCGGACATCGCAACCCAGGTATGAAGTTATGATATGGGGGTGTATTTCTTGGAATGGCGTTGGGACAATTACACCGGTGAATGGTAACATAAATGCAGAAAAATATCAGGACATTCTGGAAGAGAACCTGTGGCCAGTGATTGCTCGACATTTTCCTAGGGGTGGATATTTTTTCCAGGACGACAATGCCCCCGTTCACCGAGCAAGGTCTACTCAACAATACATTGCCCGGAATGGAATTAATTGCTTAAGTTGGCCTGCCCAGTCGCCAGATATTAACATTATTGAAAACCTTTGGCTATTGATAAAAAGAAAACTTCAGACACGCATTCCCTTCATTAAATCTAAAGACGATCTCGTGGAGGAAATTCGGGGCATTTGGACAAGCATCCGACCTAACTATGTTCAGAACCTCTATAAGTCCATACCAAACAGAATTTTGAATGTAATCAGGCTCAAGGGACATCTTACGAAGTATTAACAAGTAAGTTTAACATAATTTATATTTTTTATTTCTTTATTTCATCACAGCGAACGTTTGAAATTTAACACTTTCGTTTTCAAGCGTAAACAAACCGCCATGTTGACCGAATACTTATGGCACGTGTCTGTAGATAAGTGGGAGCAAAATTTAACGTCCGAATTCACAGTGTGACGGATTGCAAACTTATCGGATAAGACGGTTTTTACTGTAAAAGATAATTATTCAAATGACTATTACAATTCCTCGTATCATAAGATTAAAAGTAGAATTTAGGCTATAACAAATACTATTAAAACAAGTATAGTTAAGCTTTGTTATCTCGAAATCCGTTATAACGAATCATTGGATTTCTCGAACTTTAAAATTTTTCTCTCCGATTATTCGACTAACGAGATTCGACTTCGATCTGATGTAAAATTTCTATTTACCTACCTCTTGCTGGACAGCCTCTATTGTTGCCTCTCTTTCCCCACCATTTTCTTACCCACCAAGCATCCGCTTGTAGGCACAAAGCACACAGGACAACGAAAACCTACGAAATAAATTATTAAACACATATATTGCATGACTTCATATTTAATCAACCACAAATAGCAAGAAAAATTTGCTATCTATTGACTTATTTGTAACATCCTAATTTAATCAGCTATAAATATTTTTTAATTCAATTATTTGTATTTCATAGGTTCGGTACTAAATTTGAATTCTCCACCCAAATGTAGTTTACGAAATTGTAAATAATTATTTTCTGGTTACAATACGTTTTGAAAAAATGATAATTTCCTATAATGGTTAAAAGGTTCTATTAAGCTTACACAAGAAAAAATATTTTTTTCCTTGCACATTTTACAAGACGCTTTTTGCTTCTTTATTTACAAAAAGAATTAAAATCGAAATTAAAATCAGTAAAATGAATATTTTATATTTATATTTTATGTTTAAACCCATTAGTAATTAAAGCATCTCTTAGGTGAAGGATATAAGAAGTACGAAAAACTCTTAAATAAAATTAATCCCTCAATTATATATAAACCGGCATTCGGCAGTCATCAAACATCGGTTTTCAAATTAATATAAAAAGTAGTTCTTAATTGTCAACGAATATAATATTTTTAAATCAAAACTTTATTAGAAAATACTGATAAACTTTCATTAAATTTTAGAACTTGTTATCTAACAATTTGAAAAATGAACATACCAATGAAAGTTTCATTTCATTCGATGAAGGAATGGTACGCATACAATGTTTAAGATTATATATAGTGTCATTAGTAATAGAACACCTGTGTATCTGAAATTGAACACAAGTGTTTCGAGCACCCTTCGCCCACGAAAACAGTATTGTCAAGAAGAACAGTAAAATGAAAACTTTCGTTATTTGGTCGAAGAAAAGATTTGCATGAATATTTAAATGCAATTTGAGTAAATTTAGGCAAAGATAGTGATGCTGGTCTCAGTAGTGAAGGACAATTTAAAAAAAGTACACTTTAAAGAAGAATGAATTGGAGTAAACTATAAAGAAGTGATTTTAGCATACGTTCTCTGGTGTATAACGGTTATAGTTAATTTGCATGTTTTACACTGAACTAAAGTAGTCAATATATAGTTATTTTATTAATTTTAATGATTAATTGAGACATTCATCATTGATATAATTCAACATGGGGAAATTTTATTAAACAACACAATGTTTTAGCTCACCTGATGTTCTTCAAATTCTTCTCCGGAACAGCTGGGCTAACTTTAACAAAACTTATTATATAACATCTATCTGGACAAAGGGGACAGTCAAAATAATCCATATAGAGAGTAATTTCCTTTTGAAAAAGAAAATACCAAGAAAAGTAAATTTGAAAAAATGGATTGGTGTCAAAGAATATACCGGGGCATTCTCAAGAACCACGGGGTCTAAGAAGTTGAAATATGTTCAGCTTTTTTGCATTATAATCGTCTGGAATTGAACGGAGTGTGTCCCAACATAGGAAAATACTTTAACATGGAAAAACATGGAAATATTTTTAAAAAATAATTTTATTTACGACAAGAAAGTCATTCGTGATTCACATTCATATACAACAATCTAGCGAAAATGCTAATTCAGAATTGTTCCAAAAATTTCCGTAGAGTAGCATATATTTGGATTTATCCATAAAAGGGAATCAGAAATTTACTTGATAATAAAAAAATGATGACATTTAGTATCTACGATTTAAAAATCGAGATCCCGTGTCACGGCAAGTACTTCATGGCACGAGGAAGATCCCTCCATGCTCAATGGCTCTGAGTGCAGAGTAAAGGTCAAAATTTGAAGCCCTTCACCCGTATATGGTGATGTCTCATCATGGTTGAAAAATTCTTGCATTGGACCTAAAACAACATACAATCAATCAATCAGTGTGTAAGGATTCAAATTGACTTCAATGATGACTCCTTATCGGACCAGAATGGGGCTAAAATATAGAGTCAATATTTATTATATGCAAAAAAAAAAGAGTGGAAAATTTCAAGTCAGCAGACAAAGGTAATTGGGGTAAGCGTCATAGTCCATCGGCCTTTTGTTTTGTTATAAAATATGCCTCTTTGAAAACGTCTGTCTTGACAACCTGTTGCGTAAACGTGACAAAATTACGCCCTTCATAAGTGTAATATACAATCCATAAAAAAGCATGGTAGTATAACGATTTTTGAGCCAACTGCAGCAACTGTTCGATTTAAATACATTTTTAACTTAAAAAAAAAACAACAACACGTTTTCCTCAAAACTATACAATAATAAAATCGCCGTACAATTTAATTAAATCACAAAATCATATAAAAAAAAAATAAAAGGTGCTTTAATGTTTCATTAATAAGTAGATAAAAAGCATTCTATAAAGTGTTCTTGGGCGGTTGTTTTCTACAAATCAAGTTTTTTATACGTCAAAAATTTCATATGAAGATATTGAATTTACAGCTAGTGTAATGTATCTTATATTTACCAAATAGACACCCTTTCCTTACAGAAAAACAAATACAATTAACTTAATTTCTTTTCATAACCCCCGCTTGAAAAGCGGGAGAGTATATAGTAATCGTTATGTCCGTCCGTCCGTCTAGCTAATACGTCTCGCTGTTTGTACGTCCGTCCGTCCGTCTGTCTGTTACGCTTTGAGTACCCATCTTTAATCCGCAACTACTCCCATACCACTGCATGAAATTTGATGAAACGTTCAAAGAATCTTTATTATATATTGCCATTGTGCACCTCTTTTTGATTTTTCGACCCGACACATATTTTGGGTTTCTCGCAACAAAAGATGGACATCTATTATATTCATATGGGAGGCGGGGGTATCATTTAGTGAGCTCATTGCTCACAGTACCTCTAGTTCTACTTAAATTCATGAAAATAATTGTTTATTCATAACACTGGTCGAGACACTCTGTTCCTTCTTGTTTTTTAAGTTCCTTGCAAAATTATTTATTCCTATGAGACTCACTGTGTGCCGTTAAAGGACTGCAAAATGTGGACGTTTAATTTATTCCGGACATAATATGACACTCCTAGAAATGTGTTCAATGGTCCACTTGTTGATTGAACAGAAGTTTTAAATCTGACGGGATTGTAGCCTCTTGGAAAAGGTACCTGTCTTTACAGTATGGGGAAAAGAAAGTTTTAATATTAAGCATTTTTTTAAATGAAGCATATGAAAAAATAAATAGTGATTTATCTAAAAATACAAACAGATGAATACAATTCTGTGATCACAGCAAAAAATACAGACCCCCCCTCTCCCCCCGAAAGTCCAAAGGTAGGAGGAGTTAACTCTTTTTCTAACGGACATAATACCTTGAGCCTCAAGCATTGGTCAGGTATTTGAAAAACACCATAGTTAAATTGGTAAAATACAAGACATGATGTTTTCCCAAAACGTCCAAATGATAGACGATATTTGCTAAGAAGGTCATTTTAACGTCGATGGAAGTGGGGATGGCGGAATATTACTACATGTACATTAACAAGCTTTAAGGAAAACATAACTCATCCGACTATTCATGCAGATTACATCTTTTTATGGACCGGTATTGTCAATATTTAGTAAAACAGCTAAATACTAGAGGTACTGTGCGCAATGATGAGCTCACTAAATGATACCCCCACCTCCCACATAAATTTAATAGGAGTGTCCATGTTTTGTTATGGGAAACTTAAAATTTGTGTCGAATCAAAAAGTAAAATAGGTGCACAATGGCAATATGTAATAAAGATTCTATGAAAATCTTATCAAATTTCATTCAGTGGTATGAGAGGAGTTGCGGATATGAGATGGGTACCCCAAGGCGTACCAGACGGACGGACAGACAGACCTAAATACCCTCATACTTTTAAAGCTGGGGGAATTATAAAAAGATGTTGTAATTCCCCGAGTTCAACGGATCAAATAAAGTTAACATATGAATATTGAGAAGGGTATAGTTAATTTATAAACATTCTTTTTGTCAAGTTAAAGGTTTTAACAAGTATTTCCATGTAGAAATAGCTGAATAAATGACTTTTCTTATTAACTTGCGTAAACTCTGCTTCATTATACCCCCCCCCCTCGATTGAAAAGAGGGAGGGTTTATAATAATCGTGATGTTCGTCCGTCCGTCCGTTACGCTTTGGGGTACCCATCTCTTATCCATATCTCCTCTTATACCACTGAATGAAATTTGATGAGACTTAATTTCAGAGAATCTTTATTACATAATGCCATTGTGTACCTCCTACTTTACTGTTTACGGATACACATTTTGAGTTTCCCATAGCAAAACATGGACTTTGCCATTATATTTGTATGGGAGGTGGGGATATCATTTAGTTAGACCATTGCTCACAGTACCTTTAGTTATTTCTACTTTATTAATTTTTTTTTCAATTATATATCGATATTTCTGTTTTATTAACAGTGACAATTCCTTTTTAGCATTCTATCAAACATTCTGTGAGTCAACATATTTGATTTGCGTGAATTGTTTTTTATGACACGTACCCAAAAGTTTCTTTTGGCAATTATTTTTCGAAAAGAGATAAGAATTTTTTAAAAAAATTAAAAAAGGTTAAAGGTATTCTGACTTGTATTATGCTTTTATAATTAAAAATAGTTACAATCTTAACTGATAGGCATTAACAAAACAATTAAAAGGTATACATAACTAGTTGCTTTCTTGATAATATCATGGTGTTTAGTTCTGATAGATACATCTATAAATGAAACAAAAAATATACGTCTTCGTCAAAAGAATTAAGTATATCCGCACTTATGATACCTTTAATGAATTAATTTTATATATAGAATACTCTCTCTCGTACAAGAGATACATGTATGTTCAAAGATATTCTGTTAGATAATTGCCCACCCCTTTAAGAGCCCATTGCTTTGTAGAACTAATTATAGAAATATTTGGGTTTATTTTATTCATAGCGTTATGGCTGCTTTTATTAAGGTCATATTTTGTAATATTTAATCATCTAATCTTCATTTTTGACATCTATTTTTCCGTATATATCGATCATAAGAAAATTTCATTCTTTTTCATACCCGTATATCACACAACGAAGAGGTTCTGCTTTTATTCATTTCAGTTACGTTTCGTAATTTACAAACATATATTTTGAATATATCGCATGCTTTTAAGACCACGAGTTCTATTGTATATTCACTGTATATCTTTATTTGAAATATTATCTAAAATAAGAACAGATGCTGCAGTTACATGTACCTAAAAATCACTACACTGACATGTTTTTTATAGGGATGTATATCGTGTTTGTTACTTTATTAGGGCGAAGTCGCATTTTATGTAAATTTATGTAACAGATTTATCAAAGCGGAAGTTAGAAAGGTTTTCTGGTGTTTTCCCCTGATATTTGACTGAATCAGATTAGTAGCCAAACAAATCCAAATCTTTATACAAAAAGATGCATGCTTATATACAAAATACCGGAAAAATTGTTAAAGATGCTTGTTAAAACCTACGTTTATCATACAACCATCATTTATCACACAAATGCACTTTACATATTATATCATTGTTATACCCCCTGCTTGAAAAGTGGGAGGGCATATAGTAATCGGTATGTCCGTCCGTCCGTCTACTACGCTTTGGGATACCCATCTCTTATCCGCAACTCCTCTCATACCACTGTATGAAATTTGATGAAAGTTTCACAGAATCTTTATTGCATATTGCAATGTGCACCTCCTATTTTACTTATTGATCTGACACATATTTT